TTTATTATAATCTAAAATAATTTATATTAATTTATATAATTTAATATGTTTAAATTTTTTTATAGCTTCTACAGCAACACAGATCTTTGCAAAGTGCTCTAACTTCTAGAATTAAAGAAGCAATGTTCTCTGTTTTTGGGAAATCTCAACTAGATTCAATAAATACCCAAGCTTCTCTACAAGCTATAATGGAATGGAAATTGTCTCAAAAGACTAAGGTATATTATAAAAAGCTTTTTGCTGCTATTAATGAAGATAATCCTGATGATATCTATATAACTTGAATACTTTTAAAAGTTTGGCCAGGTTCCTCACCTACAAATATGAAGCTAGCATTTACAATAACAGTCTGTCAGATTATGCTAAGCTCTTATTATGAAAAATTAGTTATAAAGGAGGATATAGTTAAAAATTGACTTCAAAAAAATTTAGTAAGTAATTATAAAATATAATTATTTTAAACAATATTAATATAATTCAAATATTTGCGAATAATATAAATAATTAGAATAAATTATCAAGAAATAAGCCTTTTCATTCTCTTGTCTCTGGTGAGGAATCTCTTACTGAAGATGAAGTTAGTGTTGTAGAAGTTCTAAAGACAAGGGGTTCAAAGCAAAGAAAGTCAGTTTCTTCTAAAAAAAGCAGAGTAATTATTATGATATAATTAAACTATTTAATTAAAAAAATTTAAATTAATATAATTTTAAATATTAATATTATATAGCCATCAAAAAAGGGAAAATCAACTCATAAATGTTCAACAATTTATCTCGATTCTCCAGCACATTCTCCAACATATTTTCATACTTCTGAACTACATCAAGAAGATCCTCAAATACAATAGAGCAATCTACAGGAGGAATCAAGCACTGCTCAACAACAAGAAATAACAGAATATCATGAAATACAAGATTAATTCAATTATTTTTTATATATCTGTATATTTTAGGATATTATAATATAACGCTATAGCGAAAAATTGCTAGTCTTCCAAAATCATGTGACTATTAATAATGATTACTATTTGTATAATATTAATAATTACCTTCTGCGCATTAGTATATGTATAAATAAATTTTCCTTATAAAATTTTGATAAATATAATACCTTCAAACTCTAATCTAAAAACAAAGACCTAACCCTAATCTTATACATAGTACAAAATTTTACTTCAAAGTCATTTTGAATAGCGATTTTACTCTTGTATACTAATAAACAAAGTAATAGAATTAGTATTACTTAATGATTAATTAGAATTATACAGACACGAATATAATTTCTAGTTCATATAATTCACTAAAGGAAATTGTATTTGCTACAATTAGAGAAACTAAATTTACTTAATTCTACATGATTTCGAACTACACATGTTTAATTTGTACTATTGTACTGTATTATTTTACTAACTGCAAATGATAATGAAATATCAAAATTATAGTTGCTAAAGGTTGTTAGTAATAGAAAACAAGATTTCAAATATGTAAATAAGCAATATATTACATGTATAGTCAAAGTTTGATTTATCAATCTAGTAATATTATAAAATTTAATTGTACTTTATAATCAAACCTTGACTATAAATAGTACAAGTTATTAAAATATAACATCTTTTAAGATTATTCATATTTGCAATTCTTTTGATAATGTCCAATATTTCTACATCTTTTGCATTAATACTATTGCTTTACTTTAGGCTTAACAATTTTATAAGATGACTTGAGCCTTTTTTACCTAATGGATGACCTTTTCTCTTATGCTTTATTGGATTTTGCAATTAAGGATTTATATTTTCTTTACCAATGCTATTATTACTTTGTTGATCTTCATCTGAATATGATTTATCATCATCTGATTTATCTGATTTATTATCATCGATATCATCATCTTCAACAAAATCTTGGAGTAAATCAATTAGTTCCTGAGATCTTAACTTGTTCTGCAATGCTTTATTTAAAGCCTTCTTATACATACTATGAAGCTTTCTATAAACAATTTTTTGCTCAAAAGTTATCATATTCTCTTCACAGAAGTTTGCTTTTTCTTCTCTGAAAAGATACAGATAAGGAATCGGAGAATGATTTGATAAGGTCATCATATCTTGAGTAAACTTATTTGCTATTACCCTTAATTTGTAACACAGGCAAATTTGCTTACGTCTACTTTTAATTTTTATAATTTTTAAAATAAAACTTTAAATATTAACTTTAAATATATACTTTCTAAGTAAA